ATTATAATAAGTGAGCCCATCAAGATAGTTCAAATATTTTTTAAAATAATTAATTAATAAAAATCTTGTTGGGGCTATGATTTTCAATGAAAAATAAATAAAATCTTTATTTTTCTAATTTTTTCAATTTCAGATCTAATTTCTGATAACATAGCTAATCAGATATGAATTTAACATTCAAATATCCATTAGATTATTGGATTGGATCAAATAGGATAATTATTCTTAACAGATCGAATCGAATTTGAGTAGATCCGATCCATATATCCGATCCATTTATAACCCTAACTTCAATGCAAAGATTTCACAATTGCCTTGGTTCGAATTCACGGAAGAGGTTGGGCAACGTACTGTCGACGGATGTTCTCTTCTTTGCCTCGATGGTGTACGGAGAAACAATGTGTTGTGATAGCAATCTAATCCTCTTGCTAACCATTTGCTTTGGCAAATCAATAAACATATTTCTTACATAGTGTCACTTTCATCGTCTTCTATCACATTATCCAAACTCGCGACATTATCTATCAAGTTGAGGGGTCATTTCCGGCATAGTTATGTATATTAATGTGTGTTTAGTTTATCAGCTCTACGCCAAGTTCGATACTAAAAATTCAATGTACTTCAATTAGGGCTGTCAATAGATTGGATTTTGATATGAATCCGACGAAATTAATGGAAGATGGATTTAGGGTCTCAATCCGATAACCCAATCGAGATTCAAATCCGATAATCCGTTAACTAAATAAATCAAATATGGATATAGGTCAATCTAATCTGATAAATAAATAAAATCTTTATTTATCTAATTTTTTCAATTTCGAATCGGATATCTAATAACATAGTTAATCGGATATGAATTTAACATTCAAATATCCGTTGGATTATTGAATCAGATCGAATTTGAGCAGATCCGATCCATTTACGGTCCTAACTTCAATGCGAAGATTTCACAATCACCTGGGTCGATTTCACGGAAGAGGTTAGGCAACGTACTATCAACAGATGTTCTCTTCTTTGCCTCGATCATGTACGGAGAAACAATGTATTATGACAGCAATCTAGTCATTTTGTTAACAATTTGTTTTGGCACGTCAATAATATGTTTCGTATAGGGTGTCATCCAAACTCGCGATGTTATCTGTTAAGTTGGGGGTCTTCTTCGGCATAGTTATGTATATTATTTATTTAATATTTAATTACGTTGTTTAATTATTTATTTAATCACTTAATTAAATAAAAAATTAATATTTAATTTAATTTCTTATTTAGATATTTCATTTGTAAATTATCTTAATTGGTTGTGTGTAGTATGTATCTAATATTTCATTACATTATTTAAATAAATTTTACAATATATATACAATTATTTCATAAATAAAAAAATATTTACAATTATTTCGTCCCCACCATCGGTACCTCTTCCATCTCCACTGACATTCATAACGATTCTGATAAAACATCTGTGTGCATCCCCACACCTCCACTGCCATCCTCCCTGTAACTATCTTCGCTATTCTCTGTCACTGTCTAGAACCCTTATCACCTGCAGACTGTATCTCCTTAGATATGACTCTGACCCTCCTCTTTGATCAACGGTGTCAGCTCAATGAGCAATTCAAGCTGACATATTAACATTTCACCGAGTTAATGACCATTCATGCATCGAGATTTCGAAATGACGTACAACTTAAATCACAAATGAATAATATGTACCCCAGTATCGTTGAGGAGAGTTGATAACTGTCAACTTTGTTCCATGGATAGTTGTTGAATGTGTCAATGTTATCAACAACTTCTAAATGAAAAAGGTCGATCGACGTCTTCTTGTGATGACACCTCAGTATGCTCTCTAGTATAAACATTCCCAACTTCAATTGTTTTTTTAATATTTAATAACATATTTAAACTATTTTATTATTATTTATATTTATTTTTTATTTATGTTAATTAATTATTTTTATTGCTTAATTAACATTTAAGTTACTTGTTTATTGAATTTATTTCAATTAGTTATTTATTATTTCAATTAATTATTTTAATTATTTTATTAATATAAATTTTTTTTTATCTCAATTAGTTATTTATTATTTGTTCAAATAAACAATATACATAAAAATTAACATAATTTATTAAATATTTAAATAAACAAATAAAGTATAAAATCAATAATTATATATTAAACAAATAATATACACAAACAATTAAAGTAATTACTTAAATATTTAAATAAACAATTAAATTAAATTAAATATTAATTAATGAAATTACTTATTAAATATTTAATTAAATATTTTATTTAAATATCTCATTAATTACTTTAATTGGTTATGTACATTGTTTGTTTAATATTTAATTACTATATTTAATAACTTATTTTAATAGTTTATTTTATGTTTATTTACTTCATTTAATTATTCATATTAATTTCTCATTTATTTTAATTATTTATTGAATATTCAATTGTTTATTATATTTATTTCATTATTTATATTTTAAATAAAATGAAATAAAAAAATTAATTATTTTACTTAAATAAACAATTTACATAATTCATGACATATTTATAAGCAATTAAATTCAATATTAAAAAAATAATTAAATATTTATTTAATTTCTTTATTGATATTTAAATTCTTTATTGATATTTATTTAAATGCTTTGCAAATAATTAATTTGATTGATATTTTAATTTCCTAATTTAATTGCTTATTTTTATTATTTTACAAATGTTTAAATATTTATTTAAATTCTTTTTGTATATAACTTATTTAATATTTAATTATTTCTTTTAATTTTTTACTAACACTTATTTTGATCGTTTATTTTAATATTTTCATTGCTTATTTTAATTATTTTAATAACTCTTAATTTAATCATTTATTTTTAATTAATGTTTAAATACTTTTTTTAATTCTTTATGCATATTGATTATTTAATATTTAAAAATTTATTTTAATTTCTTTACAAAAATTTAATTTGATTGATATTTTAATTTCCTAATTTAATTGCTTATTTATTATTTTACAAATGTTTAAATATTTATTAAAATTCTTTATGTATATTACTTATTTAATATTTAATTATTTCTTTAATTTTTTTTACTATTGCTTAACATAAAATAAGTAATTAAACTAAATTAGCAAATAATAAAACATTTATATTAAGCATTTCAAAGAAATAATTTTAAATACATAATATGCATTAAAATTAAACAATTCAAATAATAATTAAATATTAGACAACACAATATAAGCAATTAAAATAAATAACTTCAATAATTAAAGGAAATATATAAATAAGTAGTAAAAAAAAAAATTGTTTGGGCTTAGATAACGGTGCCCAGGCCAGTTGACTGGGCCGTCTGGACGAGTCTGGGCCTTTCTGTCTGTTGTGCCAATCGTCTCCTTCGTGGAGATCGTCGAAAAACTCTTTTTCTGGCGATCTCCACTCCATTTTCACCCTCCCAAATTATTATTCTTACAAAAAAATCATGCATTTTTTCAAAAATCAACACATTTATCTAAAATCATGTTTTTTTTTTCCAAAATCAATATAAAAACATTAAATATGAGTCGCCTGTTTTTCTTTTTTGTCGGTGCTACAGTAATTTTACTATTTCCTTTCTATCTTCTCTCTCTTTTTTAAATGGTAAATTTGGATTTCTCTTATTTTTCAATATTTTAAATATTTTTACTTTTTTTTTTAATTGATCAAAGGCCAAATTGGCCGGGTCAACGGTCAATGGCCACTATTTCCTTCATAGATATCGCTATACCCGCTTAAAAGCGAAGCTATTAGCATCTGGCCAAAATATTTATTCGGGTTTCTCATCTTGTAGATTTCCTAGCGGGACAGTAAAACAACCCGGGAAAGATGCAGATCTTCGTGAAAACCCTAACTGGAAAGACCATTACTCTCGAGGTTGAGAGCAGCGATACCATCGACAATGTCAAGGCCAAGATTCAGGTTTTTGATCTTGATTTTTTTTCCTGATTTAGTTATATTTCTTTAATTTGGGGGTTTTACTGCTTTTTTGTTGTTGAGGTTTTTGTTTTTGTTTTTACGTCTTATTGATTTGTGGGATATATAGAACTAGGGTTTTGAATTATTTTTTCTGCTGGGGTTTGGTTTCAATTAGGTTCTTTTCATAGGTCATTGGTCCATGTGTATAGATTATAGGGAGCATGCCAACAAATATATGTTTTTTTATACCATTGATCACCGTTGAATCTTTACGGGAAATTGAATCGCTAGTACATGTATCGTTTGCCTTTTGGGTAGGAAAAAAAATTGCTGTTGGGTTATTTCACTGTTTTATATCTGTGGCATGGAAGGAGAGAATTTAGTTAAAGCACCATTAATTAACTTTTAGGTTTGTTATATCTTTTGTTGTCTGTCAAATTTCACGCAGAAAACATTTTGAGTAAGCAGGGAATATTGATTTTCTTATCATTATTCATTACGACTTCCTGTCTCTATTTGGTTCTCGTGGAAAACAGAGTACAAGTATGATATATTTTCCCGAGTTATTCTAGGTGCCCTTGCTTTTGATATTGACAATTATAAGGATAATCTAATGGAATAAGAGGATGTGAAGATTCATTAGTTCTAGAGTTAGTGAGAACGCTGTTAACTCATGTTCTCCAATCACATTTTCAAATATTAACTCTTTATATTGTAAAAAATCCCCCCCCCCCCCCCCCCCCC